GAAGGAACTGGGATTGGACATGTCTTGCCTTACTGCTAATATTTGAGCTTCTGATGATTATGCTAATTTTACATCATTTATATTACATTAAGCTGCAATGAAGACCCAGGGTGATGTGATTTTTAAGGTTTGAGTGTACAGAGTGATTGTGAACTCTACAAACAAAAAAAGGATTTGAAATCAAAAGTATTACATGATAAATGGTTTATCAGTCAGAATATGTGTATTTATCTTCAATTACACATTTCATTTGATATCAAGCATTTTAGACCCACACATCAAAGGAATATATAAATGTTATGATTTCGGGAAATTTAAACCTTAGAGCTTTTAGAGGTTTGATTAAGAGAACAACAACTCTTTGAGAGCTCGTCTTGGTTAAATAAAACCAATTTACTGTACATTAGATCCGTTTTCTAAGACTTCACTTCTCAGTTTAACCACTAGCGGTCACAGTGACTAGAGAATCTGTTCTCTGGGTAGTCAGTGACACACCTGCTCCATGTCTTCAAATGATTTCCTTGTAAATGTCCTACTTCCTCTTGCCTGTGTTTTAATCTGTGATTTTGTTTTCGGTATTAAATGCTGCAAATCATTCCTAGTTGTTTGTCAAACTGTATTGTTTATAGCTATGCTGTACTTTGCATATCAGCATTTTCCCAAAGGTCCAGGAATGTGATGGGTGGAAAAAAAACAGTAAGCAAAAGTTCAAAGTCAAATACCAACTCAGAGACTGATATATTTAAAGGGATAGTTCACCCAGAAATGAACTTTTGTTATTATGTACTTAGCCAGCCCAAACACAAAAGGTGGGTGTCTTCATACACCATAGAAGCGGTCCATACGACTCATACACTATATTTCAAGTTCTCTGAAGCCATAAGATAACTTTGTGTGACTAACAGACCGACCGATATTTAAGTTGTAGACATCTACGCTAGTTTTTCTTAACACATTCATGAGAGAAATAGCTATTTTTTGTTTTGTTGTTTTTTTTTTTTTTAAATTAGCTGATCCAATTAAAAAATGTAAAAAAAAAAAAAAAAACATTTATAAAAACAAATTTTTTTATTTATTTATTTATTTTTACAGCAATGAAAGTAATAGTAACAGTATCAGTACTTTAATTCTATTCACCTCATTCAACATTAAAATAAATCAAACATGAATTACATTTAAAAAAATCTAAATATAATGGCCATGAGTAATGGTCAGTTTTCATACAATTGTCAACTAAATCATAAAACACCGTTATTTATTACGTAATTATTACCTTATTCCCTACAATCTTTTACTTGAAAGAAGATGCCAAAGAGATATAGATTTTGGTTATATTCAGTGATGTTAACATAAATGGTCTGTGTATCAGGACTTTCATAAGTATTTCAAGATAGACAAGGAGACCTTCGAAATATATTCAAGTATTTCGATACTATACAAATTAAGAGTATTCAATGATGTACTCAGGATAGATCTGGAATTTCTCAAACACAACAAAAATGGCCGGGTTAGTCTCATTATCAACACAGCTGTCGTAAAAGCCTTGGCTGTTGGGTTTCTGTGGAGGACGGACTAAAGTATTGTTACCCCTTGTGAAGTTTCCCACCAGCACCAGAGCCACGAACATCTTCTTGGTCTTGCCGTTCCTGGATTTTGCATATTTGTCAGAGTATGAAGAATCTCTGGCAAAATAGCTGCCTGTAAACATAAAAAACACATGCAATGTCCAATATTTGAGAAAGCATTCAATAATTCTTGAATATATTGAATTGAATATTCTTTTATTGTAGGCTACATGACAAGGTGAAGAACTGTTATACGTATATGCTATTGAACAAATGTGTAAATACCTTTCCCATAAAGTGTCCCGTGACTTCCACAGATCCTCCAGTCAAAGTTTTGCTCACAAATCGCTGCTATGAGAGACTCATCTGTACCGTGGAAAAGGTAACGCTGGTCAACTGCACTCTCTCCATTTCTCTTATTCATCTGTTCTTTTTGCCTAGGAAAAAACA